TTAATAATTAATTAAAGTTTATTATTTTTTTTTAAAATAAAAATAATAAAATATTTAATAAATAATTTTAATATATAAATATATTTTTTTTATAGTTATATTTTAATTTATTCTTTAAGTATTTTTAATTTTTCTTTACTTAAGTTATATATTTTATAAAATTTTAGTAATTCTCTTTCTTTTAATACTATCTTATAGTTCTATTTTAAATGCAGTAGTAACCCTTCTTTTAGTTAATTATTAAAGAGTTTTTAATATTTTTAATATTATTTTAAAATTAATATTAATTATTCTTTAAAAGTAAGTTCTTTTATTTTTAACTTATGTAATTCTTTATTAAGTTTTATTAGTTTTTAGCATAGGATAGTAATATACTTTTATATATAAACTTATTTTATTTTCTTCTTTTTTTAATAGTATTAAAGAGGGATATTTAAAAGGCTAAGGAAAACCTTAAGCTTTTAGCAATCTAGTTCTTCTTTTAATATTTTTATATTAATTTTAGTTAAAGTACTTTTATTATTACATTAATAAATTTAGCTTATTCTTTATTTTATATTAAGTTTATATTTATATAACTAAGGTATTCTTAAGATAAAGTTATATTTTAGAATATTAGCTATATTATATACTATATTTATAATGTAGTTATTAATTTATAGCAGTAAGGGATTAATCTATTGCTTTATTTATTTTTTATTATACTTAAAAATTTATTCTTTAATATAAAAAAGTTAATATAGTTTTTTTTTCTTATATACTAATAACTACAGGCATATTATAGTTATAGTAAATATATAGTTGCTTTTTAATTTACTATCTATTAAAACACTAAGTAAATTTCTATTTAATAATACTATTAAAATAATTCTTTTATTAAAATACTTTTCTTTTTCTTTACTATTATATTTTAAATTAATAATATTTAAGTATTATAAGTCCTTCTGCTGCTTTTTTATAAAGGATTTTAGTAGTTTTTTAAATAGTATTAGTTTTTAATCTTTTTATCTGCATGTTATAAACATTTTATTTTATTATAGTTTTTAAATTCTTTTTATTAGCAATCTAGTTTTACTTTTTTAATCTCTTTTTGCTTATATTAATCCTATAGTTTCTTTAATTTATATATTTTATAAGATTAATTAATATATTTAAAAAGGCTTGTTTTATTTAAATATTTAAGAGGTTCTAAGATAACTGTCTTAAAGGATTGGTATTATTAAGTAGCTTCTTATATAAGGCAGTATAAATTATTATAGGGTTTTAATATTATATACTAGAGGATATATATTAAAAAAACATTCTTTTTAGCCTTTTATTTAAAATACTTTATGTATTTATAAGTAATATAATTAATTTAACTAATTTAATAATACAGTAGATATACTAGGTTAATATAGTTATATTCTTTAGTTATTTTTTTATAATTAAGGCTTTAGATAAGTACTTAATTAATAGTAATAGCTTTAATAATATATTATATTTTTAAAGTTTACTTTTATAAATTATTTAAATAAATATATAGCATTATTAAAGTATTTTCTATATTTACACTTGCTTTATTTATAATATTATATTAAAATAAATTAAATATTATAATTTTAAAGGTAAAATTCTTATAATATTATATAATATCTTTAGTTTTTTTAAAGTAATGTTTATAATTATATTATTTATTATTTTTATTATTTTCTAAAGCAATGCCTTTAATTAAGTTTATTAAATTTATAAAATTAACTTAAGGGATAGATTATTAGTTAGAGATTTTATTATTAATTTCTTTATTTAATGTTTTAAATATATTTAAGAGTTTAAATATAGATTTATAAAAGTTATAGTTATTATTATTTTTAAAAGATCTTAATTATTTTAATAAATAAATAGTTTTATTGCCTTTATTTATAATATATATTACTTTTAGCTTAGGAATTATAAATTATTTCTTTTTTAAGGATTTATAGTTTTTAGCTATATAGTTTAACTTTTTATAATTATAATATTTAAATTCCTTTTTTTTCTTTTATATTATATTAAGGTCTATAGATTTAGCTATACTACTATTATCTTTAGTAATTAATTCTTATTATTTCTTACTTTAATTTACTTAAAATCCTAAATAATATTTCCCTTCTTATTTAAAAAGATTTATTTTTAATTTCTATAGTAAATTATCTGCTTTTATATATTTTTCTATAAAGAATAAAAGATTATATTATTTTTAATTAATTTAATAAATTTCTTTTTTAATTTTAGGTTTAAGTTTATTATAGAATTATTTAATAAATGCTAATTTTCTTTAATTAATATATATTACTAGATTTTAAAATATTATAGTATAGTTTAAATACTTCCTTTTTTAGTAAATAGTAGTAAATTTATTTTTAGCTATTTTAATTTCTTTAATATCCTTAAAGGCTTTTTTAAGTTTTTTTTTAAATTTATTAAAACTTTTAAAAATAGCTTTAGTAATATCTTTAGCAATAAAGTTATATTTTATATAATTATCTTAAATTAATTTAAATTATTTAAAGGTAAGTTTTAAAAGATAAAATACTATAAAGAATACTTTATTTTTTTTTTTTTTAAAAATAGTAAAGAAGTTCTAGAAATAAACCTTAAGTTATATAATAAATAATTAAAGTTTAATAGGCTTGCTATTATATATTAGTAGAGGTTAAAGCTTAAAGGTAACTTTAATGTTTTTTTTTAAAACTAGTGTTTTTTATTTTTTATATAGTTTTTTAATAAGTTTTTTAAGCTGTTTAATAGTAAGCTTATTTTAGTTAAGTTTATTAGTAAAGTTAATGTCTTTATTTATATCTTTAATAGAATTAAAGGTAGGGGTATTAAAGTTGCCTAAGGTTATTATAATAGTTTAAATTACTTAAAAGATCTAAAGTATTTTTTTAAATAAAAGTTATTAATATATAATATTTTAATTCTATATTTAATATAAAGTAACTAATTCTTAAGAAATAAACCTTTAATATTAAGTTTATATTAATAAAGAAATATAAGGGATTTTATAAGCGGTTTTAGTTATATAGCTAATAACTTTAAATAGAAGTTTAATTTAGTTATTATATAAATACTATATTAATAATTAACTATTTAAGCTATATTTAATAAGCATAATAAACAGTCTTATATAGTAAGTTATTTTATAAAGCTTATAATCCCAATTATAATCCTTTTGTAGTAGCTTACTCTTATAATAGTGATCTATTTAGGATAGCTTACTCTTAAAGCTGTAATCCTTTCCCTGATTGGTCTATCGGTCTGTAGTATATCCAGGGTATATATCTTATGGTTTCAGGTTGTAACATTAATACTAAAATACTATTGATTTATTTATTATTGGTTATTTAGTCCATGGTTAATCCATGGTATGTACTTCTGTTGCAACCAAGCATGTTGGGTTGTAACAAAAACCCTTTATTATTTACTTACTTATTAGCTTGTTGTCTGTTAACAATTGCCGCTTTGCTTGTGTTACTAATAAAAACTATTGTTCTGGTCCCTAAAAGTAATAGCAGGATACTGCGCTATTTGCAGCTAAGAAATCAACAATTAAGTGCTTCATGAGCTGTAGTCTGTGTTTACGTAATGTACAGTACCTACTAGGCTATGCATTTCAGCTACAAAGAGTCTTATACATGGGCTGGAGTTGTATGGCATTGGATGTGTTTGCTTCTTGGAGTAGGTGGCAAGAAATTCACATATGAGACAGCCGCTTACTTATATGGAGAAAGCATGCTCTCAATTCTCGGAGATGCTACCTCCAGGCGCCAGTGTTAACCCCGCAACCCCGCATACTTGTGCAAGAGAGTGGGGCCGCGGAGACTGGGAAATTTACTACTTACTATTTTATCAATGATTCTAGTAAATAAATCGGGTGATTTTGACGAACGGGGATGCTTGCTTTGTGGCCTGATACAGTACTATATCAAATGCGAGCTAATTGATGAGTTATAAATCCCATGTGGGAGGATAATAACGCAGACTTCTGCAGGCCTGTCAAAAACCTGACACACGAAATCACCTTTCATAGGTATCAGCAAAAGAAAAAGCAAGAAAAAGCAGTCATGAAACGATTTGTTCAATTACCGAGGTTGAACCAGATAAGGTTCCTACGAAGTACAGCTGTACTTAAAGGTTGCTCCGAGAGCAACGAACAAGGCCAGCTCTGTTCGTTTTTTGATTCAGCTTCTAAGCCATTATACTTCGAATGAGGCTAACATGTGCATTGTATGGCTAGATTTCAATACAGACAAGAAGGTTTACGACACGCACGGAAGAATTGTACATGCAAGCTCGACTAGCGAGGTCCGAACCTGGGAGGAGAGTCAAGCAACAGAAAGCGAAGCTGATGTATGTTTTATTAGATCTTGAAGTACCTCCGCCCAGCCTCTTTTTCTCTAGCTAAATTTTCTTTATATCTCTACTTTCCATGATCATTCCAGGTTCTAGATATATATAACACATCTTTTACAAAAGTTGTACTTACAAATTTGGTATATAGATCAAAGCCGATCGAGGTGAGATTAAAGCTGGTCGCAAGGATGGTGACCAAGAACGAGAAAGCGTGGAGAAGATCTTTGCAATAGAGCTACCAAAACAGCGGGGCAGTAAATCTTAGTTGTCAATTCATTTTCAGTAACTCCTTTTTTTCGGCTTGCAATAGTATCATCTAAGAAAACACCAAATTTAACCATACCTGAAAAAATAAGTTTTCTAAGGTTGCATTAATATAGTTTTTTGGTTAATATAAAAATAGTCGATTAGTTTCTTTATAGATTCTTATTATAAACACTAGTCGCTAGCGCCAAAACTTAAAAATTATGAGTTAATAACAATAAGATTCCGAGTCCTCCGTTAAAATTGGGCCTAGGAGATTCACGAATACCAGTCTTCGGCTCTATCCTGCGAACAAAGTGCCACCTAGGTAATTAATCAAGAAACAAGAATTTAATCCGGGTACCCGCAAATGCAGTGGGAGGGGTCGACTGCTGCACGGGTAAGTTTTGTGGATTATAATAGTGGGCTGATCGAGCTCACGGAATGCGAACTCGAGGGATTGCTAACGATAACTTTAAGATTTTGTTGTGGTTATGAAAATTGTTTGTGGCTATGAAAGTTGACGAGAAGATGGTGCTTGCGGCTGCACATCCGTCGCTGCGGGGTCGAGGAGCCACTGAGGTGTGCGGCTTTCTCAGGGAACGCGTGGCTGCTTCGTATGTCGATGACATTCAAAGTCCGGATTTGTCTTATGGCGATGAACTGATCAATGGGCTGATCAATGCGACGTCACGATAATCCCTACAATGCAAAACAAATGAGCTATACGAAGTAGGAGCGCTAAATATACATCAACATCGTGCATTTATATTACGATGAGGTCGCATTATATACCAAGCAAATCCGCATATGAAATCTACGAATAACATTCATTAGCCTCGATTTGCTGCGAATTTCAGTTGCTGAGCCACACATAATTCTCCAGACAGTATCAATCGCAGTTATTGTAGGGACCGGCAGCTTATTTGTGAATTTTGACGGGTTTTGATTCATGAATCTAGATTATAGGCGAAGCTGATGCCATATCTATTGCGTCCTGGGCATCTCGAAGGATTCAACTTTGACATTCGTGCGAACATCATATCTCATTACCACAAGCATCTCAACAGCTTTGAATATCAACAAAATATTCGATTTTCAGAAAGACCCCTTACAATTTCCCGCGAACTCCTTGAGATGCGATTCGAATAGACAATCTCGACATTGTCTCATAGAAGCTGCAATGTCAAGTCCATCCACGGCAACACACCTCATGGAAGGCTTACTCGAGCGGACTAATGAATTTTCCAGAACAATTCAAAGTTACAACCACAATGTCATTAACGCTCCAAGACAGACAACGTCAATCATCAAGAGTCTCTCAAACCTCCATAAGGTTCTGGACCAATTGATCGAGTTACCTTTCTTCCAATCAACCTTTTCAGTGGAGAGCAACTCCGATCAGACACCAATATTTTCAATAGCCGTTAACAGATGTAGACAAGAACTTCATGAACTTCTCGAACAGTGGATAGAAGCGATCAAAAGAAAGAGAGGCCCTCAAGATGACGAATACTGGTCATTTCTTAACACAACGGTTCAACGAGTAACGGAGACCATAAGTTTGTACACTGAGGTTTTTCAGTCATGTCTTACCATTGAAGGACGGTAGAGTTAACCCTTATTTACGTCGTCATCTTCACTAGGCTAACAATCGAAGAACTCTTATGTTTAAGACGCCACCGGACTTCTTAATGATTCTAAATTGTCAAATCGACACGTCAAGACAAATCCAGGAGATGACGGGAATGTTCCCACTAATGTCAAATCCCTTGCGGGACGACCAGTTAAACTCAACGCAAGCTTCTGTGTTCATGCAGTTGATGTCACGAATTACTGACTCACCAGTAAAAATCCGGAAGATCTCTCCTGAATTGATCTCAGCAATTTCAGATGCATCCATCACGATCAGGGACGTCAGAAATCGCGTATTCACTTATGAGCAGAGCTTCGATGGTAAGTTCACCTGGCACTTCCACAAATAGGAAATGTTTATACAAAGTACGGGGGCAGATGAGAACGCAAGTCAAATCATCCACTGGCTTTCGAAGTTTCGAAACCAGATACAGCACTCAACATTACGCGCGATTCGACTTCCGGAGACTGGGGAATGGTTCTTGCATCAAGCGCTTTTTCAATCTTGGTGCCATGATGAGAAGCCAAACAATATTTTCTGGTGTAATGGCATTCCCGGTGCAGGAAAAAGTGTGATAACGTTAGCACTTGCCACTTAAACTCGGTAAACCCTGACTAATTCTACGTCAGATCACTCGTGGTAGACTATCTACTTAGCTCATTTACAGAGGGTAGCGAAGGCGTAGCCTATATATATTGCGATCCTAACGATCTGTGTCAGCAGACACCGGTCATGATGATGGCCGAACTTTTAGCCCAGTTATTGGACTCTAAGAAGGCCATGCCTCGCCCAGTTCTGCAGCTCTACGAAAGATATGATCGCGGAAAATGGTCACCACAAATAGAGGATCTTGAGACAACACTCCTGCTTGTGTGCAAGAAGTTCCGAAAGTTGTTCTTCGTCATGGACGGTCTTGATGAGCTGGGGGATGGACGGTATTGGAATCGTCTCGTGGCATTACTCAAATCGTTGACCACCACTACCGTCCGATTGTTTGTAACCAGCAGGCCACACTGGGTAGGAGTTCGTAATATGTTGGATCATCCTCAATTCACAATAACCGCTCACGAAAAGGATGTTCGGAAGTACTTGATACATACGATGCAGCAAGATAACGACTTTGCTAAGCTCATTGACGGATCCTTACAGTCCAAAATAATTCGTAGAATTATGCAATCGTCACAGAGAACGTAAGTTGCCGAATCTGTTGAATAGATCAATCAATGACAGGATAGCGCAGGTTTCTAAATGCGGCAATACAAATCCAATCTCTCATGCGTCATACAACCCTGGCGGATATAGAGCTCGCAATCACGCGCATGTCTCTAGATACAAGCAAACTGCTCGAGGAAACATTAGAGGATATCAAGCGACAATCGAAGGACCGTTCTAATCTTGCGATGAAAACGCTGACGTGGCTTGCTCACGCTAAAAGACCCATGCTGGTCAAAGAGCTTTGCCAGGGCCTTGCTATATCTCCTGGGGACTGCTGCCCAAAGAAAATCAATCTTGTTCAACTGAAATCGATTCTCGACTCCTGCCTGGGGCTCGTAGTTGTCGACCATGCAAGTTCTGTTATCAGCCTTCGTCATTCCTCGATCAAGGAATTCCTCCGACATCAAAGCGATATACAAAGCTATACAAACGATCATTACCTCACCAAGACCTGCTTGACATCTTTATTGTTCGATCATTTCGATAATTGCAACTTCACTAGTGAAGAAATGGCAGCTCAGTTGCAGCCCTTTCCATTTCTAAGATATGCGGCACAGTATTGGGGCCACCATGCACTAGGACATCCAACAGGAGAATGCATAGATCTGATTGCCAGGTTCCTTGGTGAGAGGCCAGATCTGCGCTGCCCCGCCCAGACTTGGTTCAACTTCGAAGTTTGTCGGGTACGTCGTAATGAAAGTTCTCGTAAAGGTGTTACTGGTCTTCAAATCGCCTCATCTTTCGGCCTACATCAAACAGTTGAAGTTCTGCTGGATCGTGGGTCAGAAATCGATACGAAAGATTTGAGCGGATGGACAGCACTACACTACGCGGCAGTGAACGGGCATGAGGTTACTGCTGAGGTTTTACTAGCGCGTGGAGCAGATGTTAATTTGCAAGATATGAATGGATGGACAGCATTGCATCGAGCTTCAGAAGCGGGGCAGGCAAGACTGGTCAATATACTACTGCGATATGGAGCAGATCTACACGCGCAAGACTACATCATGTGGACTGCTCTGCCTTACGCAGCCGAGCGTGGGCACGGAGAGGTGATCAGGTTGCTGTTGGGAAAAGGAGCAAACACAGACGTGCAAGACGAGAACGGACGGGCGGCGCTGCACGCATCTGCCCAAGCTGGACATTTGGAAGTGGTCAGGTTGCTGCTAGATAATGGTGCAGACGTCGCAGGGAAGGACCAACGACGTCGGTCAACACTGCACTGGGCAGCGACAGAGGGGTACGAGGACATAGTCAGCCTAGTTCTGAAACACGGGGTAGGAGTAAACGATCAAGATCAGGAAGGATGGACCGCATTGCATCGTGCAGCAGAAAATGGACATGAGGCAGTAGTGGAAGTCTTATTAAACGCCGGATCTGCTTCGACGACAAAGGATAACGAGGGGTGGACGGCACTGCATTGGGCTGCAGCAGGGGGCCACGATTCAATAGTCAGATTGTTACTCGAAGGAAAGGCGAATGTTGAGATGCAAACCAATAAAGGTTGGACGGCAATGCAACTGGCAGCGGCTGACGGACATGAGGGGATAGTCTCGCAGATTTTGAAATACGGAGTAAAAATAGAAAGTCAACAGCAAGACGGGTGGACAGCTTTGCATTGCTCGGCAGCCGAAGGCCACAAGTCAGTAGTCTTGGCGCTGCTTAGCTACGGGGCGGACGTGAAGACTAAAGACAAGCGTGGTGCGACTCCACTGCTCCTAGCGGCGAAGAATGGGCACGAAGAAGTAGCAAAGATACTGGTAGAAAGAGGGCTAGAGGAGCATGCTGCAGAGAGTTTGGGTCTTACGACGCCCCTAGAAGCGGCAATGACTAGGCAGTGGGAGACACTCAGGGTTCTTGACTTGATTTCTCGCCATACTCAGCTTCATCTGTAGAATAAATCCGTCGGAATCATTTAAATCACACTTGGTTCAGGCGCATATGTGGGCTACCTTGAAACCATCAGGGTTTGGAAACAAAGAGGGAAAGCAAGAGATAGAGCCGGGTTCCCTAGCAGATGGAGCACACTGGTTGTTTGCGCCAATGACCCAGACCTTGCATCCACATGTCCTTGAGCACATACTTTTCTTTCCTATGTTAACCGAACCGGTTCATCAGTTCGCCAGATGATCACCGCAAGTGTTCAAACACAGAGAAACCACCGCTAATATAAACCTTAAACCTAGGCTTATCCCTTGAAAATCCAGTTATATTACTAACCCCTTTAGGAATTTAGTAATCAGGTTGTTACAATATGTAAGAAGAAAAACTAATAATATATGTTTATTAGACCTGATATAATACAATCTTCTGCGCAACCTTTTACACGCTATTGCAGTTGTTTCAATAAAGCCTTTAAACGTCAATGTAATCATACACGTCACGAATGAAAATGTCCTGCAAAGCCTATGGCATCCTCGTTACTGCCCAACATCCCACGGCCGCAACGAAGCGGTATATACTACCCTGATTAGGTGCGGGCTAATTAGCCCATTAGTTCAAGTTCGACACAGATCGACTGTCGGCCCGGACTAACCAGGATATTCATCGACGCAAGTCGACCGTTGCCTTCAGTCGATTAGAACGATTAGAACAGGTCCAACTGGATATAGAGATTCTCTTCATAACACTCGGTTAGAATAGTTAGATAGGCAGTTAATATAATAGCAATCAGATTGAATTACTTGATGCTATACCAAAGCGTAGCGGAGGCGAATGTCCAAAAAGCCTAAGAGATGCTTTGTTCACCTCTTACTACTACTCCCAACTATTTACACTCTTATGTATCTAGTTGCTCTAAGTGGCTCATTCCATGATGTCCCATTGTACCTGGTGAGTCTAGCTCCTGAAGAAAATCCAGCGCAACCCTTTTCTTGATTATATGCAATATATAAGAAGGGGTAGGGTTAGCAGGTGGGAAAGCGCAATCTTTTTTAATATACATTAACATACTGGAAGATACAAAACAAAAAAACAGAACTTCCTCGATAATTCTATTGCTTATTCATACTGAGTCCGTTCTCATGATTAAACAATCCTTTGATATATTTTCTGACAGTTTGCTTAGTCTCTTTATTATCCGCTTGGCATAATGCTCTAGCAGACCTGCGCCCCAGAGCTGCGCGCCAATTAGATAAACCCTCTTCGCGATAATTCCTTCGTTGATGGCCGATTAAATTACTAGCGGTGAGGGAAAGCAACGCTTGCAATTGAATTTCGTACAGTTCACTCTAATAAGATTAATTTATATATATATATATATCTTAGTTTTGTCCATAAGGGTTACATAATTGTTTTTCAGGCACCGAAGTGTATCATAATAGCTGGGACTACAGATGGTGGATAAGTTAAAGGCGATTGCATTAGATAACAAATCCCGAAGCTGGCAAGCCCCCGCGAAGTTCCCGAAGTTCCCGTTGGTCGGCATACGCTATTCCCTATATCGCCTACTAAGCCAATATCTCGGTTTGACCCGCTCGCGTTCTGCGTCTCTAGATTGCTCTAGAATTGTTTGAGTGGAAACAATTGGGTCTCGGCATTAAAGCCACTTTTATTAACCCAATCCAGTTAGTGTATTTGGGCCCGGGGGGGGGGGGGGGCTGGCTTTCTAATACTATTGTAGTTAAATGCATTACACAGAGTAAGTCCTCTAATGCTGTTTTCCCCCCCTACTACTTCATTATCTCTTCTTTACATACGGAGTACTATAGAATTTTATAATAAAATTGGAGGTTAAGGTTATAAATTATATTTAGTTTCAGTCGCTGCTGTATTTAATTACGCTCAGGGCGCTGCCAATTAATAATCGCGATCCTAAGGCCCTAAAAACACGCCGCATCCTAGGGCTTAGAAAACGCAGAGATTTAAAAAGTTCTTTATGGTATTAACGAAAATGGGTTAGAGTAGTCTGTATAGTGGCTTTAATGCTAAGGGGCCAGCGGCACGATTGTTCCCCTGTAACCATTGTTTTTAATATAGCACACCCTACAAGCAGCTATAAAGTATTTTGTTAGTTTTGCACTTCACTGGATACATGGATTAATACAGTAGAGATCAGCAAAAGTACCTTTTTTAATAGAAAATATATCGCAAGCTAGGCCTACTTAAGAGAAAAGAAAAAGCAAAACTTCAAAAAGCTATAGAATGTCAATACTATTACACACTGTATTGCAGTAGAGAATCAGACTTATTTACTAGTATATAATATATAAAACTACTATTTTTATATTTGGGAGAATTGTCTTTTTCTTATGTACTTAAGTTATAAGACCTATTTTTCTTATTAAAATAGGCGATAAGTAGGTCGCTCTACATGTGACAATATGCAACAAACTGAAAAAATAGATCCTTCTAAGTTGTAAGGTGCACTACTGTACTCGCATGCCCCAATGTTGTTGGTATGTGGAGAAGCAAGGATGGCAAGCTTTTCAGCTCGGCCAAAGTCAATAACAATTTCCTGAAACTGCCACAGACATATGGGGCCCTCCAATAGTCTCGACGCTATTCTCACGATAGTCTCAAAAAACATGGTGGACTGCCAATAGTGTCAATGCAATCTTCGCGATGGCCTCAAACGCATGGTCTCAATTCAAGCCGGACCGTCTTATGGGGAGGCTTCCAACAGTCCCTCTACGGAGCATGGTTTGAGCAAGTCTTCTTTCATATATGAAAGGCACAAACTCAGGCCAAGCCGCCATGAGGGACTACACCAGGCCGTCAGTCACCTGCAGCAACAACTTTCACCTCACGGGTTGCTAAGACTGTTTAACAACATGCGTCTTTCGCTCGCCAGCGCTTCGGCGCTTCTGCTGTGGGCGGGAGAGGCCACATCCCATGCCATTCCGGCCGCTGATGGCAATGAGATAGTTGCGCGCGACCAGACCTACCGCGCCAACAATGGCGTGCAGTTCGCCACCGAGACTGGCTTCGATTACCATGGCGGGGATTACAAGACGGTTTCCGCCAACAGCTTTCACGACTGCATTAATGTCTGCTCAACCCAGGCTCCTTGCCGGGCCGTCTCTTATTCTGACAAGTCCTGCTGGCTGAAGTCTTCCGTAAACGTGGCCACCAGGAATAGTAAATCGAGCGGTGCGGTCCGAGTACAATATATGCCAACTCCAATTACGTGTCCGGCAGCCGGTGGTAACCAAGTTAAGGCGGCTAATGGACAACTCTTTACCGTTCAATGTGGAGTTGACCATCCCTATGGCGATCTTAAGTCAGTACAAACACTGGACTTTCCTAACTGTATTAGCCTCTGCAGTGAGACAAGCGGTTGTGTCGCTGCTAGTTGGCGGTCTCTCACCTGTTACTTGAAGAAATCTTTGCAGCCGGGCGTTGCCAACTCTAAGGCCAGCACTGCTGTGTTGAGTTCGGTACTGCCAGCCACGCCAGCTTTCTGCCCAGGCCCGAGCGGCCAGCAGATTAAGGAAACAAGCGGTAGAACTTTCACCATCGAATGCAATGCTGACCATTCGGGTGGTGATCTGGCGAACAAGTTACTGTCTAACTTTGGCAATTGTATTTCTTGGTGTGACGAGACGGGCGGTTGTATTGCCGCTGTCTATCACGATGGCCGGTGCTGGCTTAAGAACAAGCTCACGGCTTCATCGACACGCACCAACAGCCAGGTGGCCGTGCTAAGTTCCGTGCTAAGCCCTCCCCCCTCCCTTTGTCCGAGCCAGAACGGCAAGCAGATTAAAGAGCCAAGTGATAGAAGCTTCACGATTGCTTGCAATGTAGACCGTCCCGGCGGCGATTTGGCGTCAGCGAAGCTCGACAACTTCAATAGTTGCATTGCCTGGTGTGACGAGACAAACGGCTGTATTGCTGCTGCCTACCACGATGGCCGGTGCTGGCTGAAGAAGACACTATTGACATCTTATGCTCACATCAACGGCCAAATTGCCGTGCTAAGCAGCAAGCTGCCGCAGACGTCAACCCATACTACGTCTACATCTACTCACACTACATCCAGATCTACCAAGAAGACCACATCAACGACTACCAAGTCCTCATCTACGTCCACTCCCACTACATCTACGTCTACGCAGCACACCACGTCAACATCCACCCAGAAGACCGCAACGACGACAATGACTTCCGAGTCCACATCAACATCCGCCAGTGTATCGGCCAATACCCAGTCTACTCAGATTTCCACTTCTGTCACCACTGCTACTACCTCAAGCGCTGCTTCCAGCAGCTCCTCTGATACTAGTTCTGCCACCGGTTCCACCACTTCAACTGAAGCCACGGCCACGGCCACCGCAGCTTCAACCAACGCTGAGTCGACATCCACGTCAGCCTCAGACAACCCATCAAGTGTCACAGATACCTCTACAAGCACCTCAGATATCTCATCGCAAAGTGCGGCTCCGATTGTTACCGGTGCTCCAGCTCCAAACGGCGCCATTCAAACGCCGACGGGTGCCATCACTCTTCCACCTCAGCCGACTGTGACTCTTAGCCCGTTGACGCCTCCAAACGTCGATGTAGCAGGCACTGCTGTTATCACCCCCCAGGAGGTATCGCAGCTTTGGTTTGGTAATTCATCGCTAGCATCCAATGCCTCGGCGATTAGCTCTCCTACCGTCCGCGTTAATATGACGTTTGAGTATCCCTCAGTTGTACTGGACAACTCCATCAACATCAACAATGTCCAGTGTAACTCGGGGACTCTGTCCGCCAGCTTCAATGGCACTGCAGCCTATGATGCGGCCAAGAATTCCTGGGCAGCAGCTGAGTCTGCGGGCAATAGCTCTACCCTTATCATCATCACGGCTGCCCCTGGATGTAGCTTGGATGGCCACTACGTATACTTTGTAGCTAGCCACTTCGCTTTTGACGATAATGCCATGTCTGTTAGCTGCTCTGGCTCTATTGAGTCCGTCTCCGATATTGCCCAGGCAGTTGGCGTCGACTTTGGCTCTATTGAGACTTCGGTGCCACCCCTCCAGTCAGATCCTGAACTTGCGGCCGCATATGGGTGCACTTCACCTATCGCAGCGGACATCCACGGCTTACCCGCGATTTACTGTGGTCCTGATTTCGATCAGCGTCTTGATAACCAGTTGGGCTACTATTCTATGGCAGACACAGATGTCAATGTAAATGCCTCATTCCTCTGTCTTTCCCTTGGGCTATGCTAACACTCAAACAGGCCACACTGGCGGCTGTGATACCCGGAGTTGAGAACGACGCCCTTGAGCGCCGAGGCCTAATCGAGCGCAGATGCTTGATCGAATCTGTATGCAAGATGGCTAAAAAGGTAGAACAAGTTGCAACAAATACTTATCATGCCGTTGCTAATGAAGCATCATCTATTGGGAATACTCTCGGCAGCATGGCCCAAACGCTTGGCAACGATGCTCTATCAAGCTTCAAGAAATTCGCCACGGGGGCGCTATCAATGGCTGAGAATTGCGCCCGGGGAGTGATAGCAGTTGCAACTTTCCTCGTCACGGGTGACTATAACAGATCGTTTGACTTCCCCTTGGCCGTAGCACCGCCACCCAGCGCGCTAGATGACTCTCCCTGGGGTGATGCCTTTAATTTCTATACGTGGACTCCTGATAAGGGTGATTTCTGGAATGCTCAGGAGGAGGCTATTGACAAGATTACAAGCGTCCTTATTGGTGAGGCGGACCCGGAGCCTAGTATCGAGCTTTGGTGTGTTAATTGCCATGCTACTGGCGATCTCCAGCTTCTCGGTAGCGCCTCTTTCTCGTTGTCACATGGCCTCACCAAGGCCCAGCTATCTATGAGCGGGAACCTTGACGCCAGTCTCTACCTTGGCATGAATGCTTTCGCCGAATGGGACCCTACCAAAGAGGTTGATATTGTTACTATGGGCCTGCCGGAGCTTGAGATACCAAATATTCTTGTCCTTGGTCCTATTGTTTCGCTTGGTGTCTCCATTGATCTAGATGTCAGCGCTGTTGGACAGTATCTCGTTGGCGCTGACATGAACTGGCCACAGCTCTCAGCTACCCTTGATGTTCTTTACCCTGGTAGTTCTTCCCAGTCAGGTTGGGTCCCGACCATCCATGACTCCGTTCAGGCTGATGGTAGCTTGACTATTAACTCCACTCTTGGTCTCCCCATCACCCTTGCCTTTGGAATTAACATCCTGAACGGTAAATACAAGAAGGAGGTCAAGCTTGTCGATACCCCTGGCATTCGGGCTAGCAGTAAGTCTCCTCCTTCTTTTGTCAGGTCGGCCTCAAGCTAACCACAGTTTTGTTTTAGTGGAGTATGACTGGACCAACGAGATCAACAACGGCACCGTCAACACCGACCCTGCTGATGATTGCTATGGCATCCACTGGAGCATTGGCGTTGTCAACACTGTTGTGCTCGATCTTACCGAAATTGATCTGGGCACCCATACGCTGGAGGAGTGGGATGCCCCGGTCTTTGCATCGGGTTGCATTGGCGAGAGCCTCAGCATCGCATCACCCACGGCTACCGTGGCGGCTCCAACAGGGGGAACTACCTCCGTCCCAACCTCTCAGGTGGACTGCTCTTCGCTTAGCTGTCCGAACGATAACGGACAATATTGCGTCTCAAATGGAGCATCCTTCCAGATCAACTGCGAGGCCATATATCCGCCAGGACAAGTTGATGGACTCGGTCCACGCGGCAGCATCGACGAGTGCATAAGTGCTTGCGCGACTAACGGCGCCTGTATTGGCGTTAATTGGGATTCTAATCATAATTTTATATTTGGTTGCGAGCTGTATTATAGTCGCACACCCACTTACGATGGGCAGGACGCACCAAGGTGGAGCTACACAAAGGTGGCATCACCACAAAAGAAGAGAATGAATCTTGTCCAGCGGGTGACGACGGTGGACACCAGTGCTGCCCCTACCGGGATAGTCAACTCCAACGACATTGTTGCCGACACGTTCAGTCTAACTGCGTCGTCTACTGGTACCACCACGGCTACCACCACGGCTGCAAGCAGCACCGCCGAGGCAGGCTACGATACGGCGCCTGTCACCATCACCGACATAACTGGCCAGCTGCTGGTTAACCCTCACGTAAACGGTAGCTTGTTCGTCTCTCCAGCCAACAGCACCGTGTCAATGACCAGCCTGACCAATGACACCACTTTCATGGCTGATCTTACCAACCCTCTTGTCATTGGCGACTCGGCCAGCCGAATTCTTTACTACTTCCCCAGCACCATCTCTGCTGTAGGTGCCTCACGCCTGCGCTTGGCCACTTGGGACGCCATCCCCATCGGTGCTGAAATGATTATGCTGTTCCCAACGGTTACCAACGCAAAAGATACGATTCTCATTGCCATGGACAGCACGCAGAACGTCTTCTTCCCCTTTGTCTGCGCCATCGAGGGTCAACTGAACAAGATTTTCCTCGTGTCTAGCTTTACGACCGGCGCGTCCACGCTGATGGATCCCGATTTGACGTATACCGTTATCGGTGGTGTTGCCACATCATGTGTGTCGCTCGCCATGGTGGCTGAAAATTTAACAGGTTGGGCTCCTCCTAGCCCGACCGGGGCCTAGAAAGTAATATTATTAAAGAAAGTATAGCGGGAAATTATACCTTAGAAAATTTTATTGTTTATAATATTTTTTTTTGTTTTACAATAGTATCTGAGCTTAATTTCTCCTATTAGGCTTTTTGTTTATATATTAGGATTTGTTTTTATACTTTAGTAAAACTTTAGCCTATTTGTTTAATTTAAAAAAGTTATAGTATAGCTTAATAAAAAGGAAAGCTATTTTACTATATTTTAGTGCCGGGAGGGGGGCATGGCTTATTGTCATGAACCAACTACATAAGATCCCTCTGGTATATACCTCCAGGTAAACCACAGACAAGACAACCAATTAGAATAAAGGAAATGTATTCTTAGTAAGATATATACCTACTTATAAAATAAGACTGCAACTTTAAGGAAGCATTTTCACTAGGTATAGCGCAACTTACATAAGTAATAACTATAGAACGACTTACTATATAAGATTGTTTATTACACTTATTAAATATAGCTTAAATAATTAGTCGTTAATATAGCATTTATATAATAACTAAATTAAACCTTTATTTAAAGTTATTAGCTATATAACTAAAACCGCTTATAAAATCCTTTATATCTCTCTGCCAATATAAACCCAATGTTAAAGGTTTATCCCTTAGGAATTAAGTTACCCTATACTAGGTATAGGATTAAAATATTATATATTAATAACTTTTATTTAAAAAAATACTTTAGATCTTTTAAGCAATTTAAACTACTATAGTAACCTTAGGCAACTTTAATACCCCTATCTTTAATTTTATTAAAAATATAGATAAAGACATCGACCTTACTGGTAAACCTAACTGAAATAAGCTTACTATTAAGCAGCTTAAAAAACTTATTAAAAAACTATATAAAAAATAAAAAGCACTAGCCCTAAAAAAGGATATTAAAGTTACCCTTAAGCTTTAACCTCTACCAGTATATAATAGCAAGCCTATTAAACTTTAATTATTTATTATATAACTTAAGGTTTATTTTTAAAACTTCCCTATTATCTTTAAAAAAGAAGAAGATAAAGTATCCTTTATAGCATTTTATTTTTTAAGACTTGCTTTTAAATAGTTTAAATTAATTTAAGATAATTATATAGAATATAACTTTACTGCTAAAAATACTACTAAAGCTATTTTTAAAAGTTTTAATAAATTTAAAAAAAAATTTAAAAAAGCCTTTAAGGATATTAAAGAAATTAAAATAGTTAAAAATAAACTTACTATTATTTACTAAAAAGGGAAGTGTTTAAACTATACTGTAATATTTTAAGATTTAGTAATATATATTAATTAAGGAGAATTAGCATTTATTAAATAATTCTATAATAGACTTAAACCTAAAATTAAAAAAAAAATCTATTAAATTAATTAAGAATAATATAATTTTTTATTCTTTATAGAAAAATATATAGAAGTAAATAATTTACTATAGGAATTAAAGATAGATCTTTTTAAATAAAAAGGGAAATATTATTTAGGATTTTAAGTAAATTAAGATAAAAAACAATAGGAATTAATTGCTAAAGATAATAGTAGTATAGCTAGACCTATAGACCTTAATATAATATAAAAAAAGAAAAAGGAATTTAAATATTATAATTATAAAAAGCTAAACTATATAGCTAAAAACTGCAAATCTTTAAAAAAGGAATAATTTACAATTCCTAAGCTAAAAGTAATATATATTATAAATAAAGGCAATAAAACTATCTATTTATTAAAGAAATTAAGATCTTTTAAAAATAATAATAACTATAACTTTTATAAATTTATATTTAAACTCTTAAATATATTTAAAACACTAAATAAAGAAATTAATAATAAAATCCTTAATTAATAATCTATCTCTTAAGTTAATTTTATAAACCTAGTAAACTTAGTTAAAGGCATTGCCTTAGAAAATAATAAAGATAATAAATGATGTAATTATAGATATTACTTTAAAGAAACTAAAGATATTATATAATATTATAAGAATTTTACCCCTAAAATTATAGTACTTAATTTATTTTAATGTAATATTATAAATAAAGTAAGCATAGATATAGAAAATACTTTAATAGTGTTATATACTTACTTAAATAATTTATAAAAGTAAACCTTAGAAATATAGTATATTATTAAAGCTATTACTATTAATTAAGCACTTACCTAAGGCTTTAATTATAAAAAAATAGTTAAAGAATATAACTATATTAACTTAGTATATTTACTATATTATTAAATTAGCTAGACTAATTATATTACTTATAGATATATAGAATATTTTAAATAAAAAGCTAAAAAAAATGTTTTTTTAATATATATCCTTTAGTGTATAATATTAAAACCTTATAATAATTTATACTGCCTTATATAAAAAGCTACTTAATAATATTAATCCTTTAAAATAGTTATTTTAAAACCTCTTAAATATTTAAATAAAATAAGCCTTTTTAAATACACTAACTAATCTTATAAAGTATATAAATTAAAAAAACTATAGGATTAGTATAAGTAAAAAGAAACTAGAAGAGTAAAGTTAAATTATTAATAAAAAGAATTTAAAGACTATAATAAAATAAAATATTTATAATATATAGATAAAAAAATTAAAAACTGGTATTATTTAAAAAACTATTAAAGTCCTCTGTAGAAGGGCAGCAGAAGGACTTACAATACTTAAATATTATTAATTTAAAATATAATAATAAAGAAAAAAAAAAGCACTTTAATAAAAGAATTATTTTAATAGTATTATTAAATAGAAATCTACTTAGTGTTTTAATAAACAGTAGATTAAGAAGTAACTATATATCTGCTATAACTGCAATATACCTGCAGTTATTAATATATAAAAAAAGAAAACTATATTAACTTTTTTATATTAAAGGATAAATCTTTAAGTATAATAAAAAATAAATAAAGTAATAGACTAATCCCCTGCTGCTATAAATTAGCAACTGCATTATAAATATAGTATATAATATAGCTAATATTCTAAAATATAACCTTATTTTAAAAATACCCTGGTTATGTAAATATAAACCTAATATAAAATAAAGAATAGGTTAAATTTATTAATGCAATAATAGAAGTATTTTAAATAAAACTAATATAGAAATATTAAAAAAGGAACTAAATTACTAGAAGCCTAAGGTTTTCCTTAGCCCTTTAAATATCTCTCTTTAGCATTATTAAAAAAAGAAGAAAATAAAATAAGTTTATATATAAAGGTATATTGCTATTCTATGCTAAGAACTAATAAAATTTAATAAAGAATTATATAAGTTAAAAGTAAAGGAACTTACTTTTAAAAAATAATTAATATTAATCTTAAAATAATATTAAAAATATTAAAAACTCTTTAATAATTAACTAGAAAAAGGGCTACTACTATACTTAAAATAAAACTATAAAATAGTATTAAAAAAAAGAAAATTATTAAAATTCTATAAAATATATAACTTAAGTAAAGGAAAATTAAAAATACTTAAAGAATAAATTAAAATATAACTATAAAAAAAATATATCTATATATTAAAATTACCTATTAAATATTCTATTATTTTTATTTTAAAAAAAAATAGTAAACTTTAATTAATTATTAACTATTATAAATTAAATTAAATTATAGTTAAAGATAAAACCCCCTTGCTATTAATCTTATAAATTAAAAATAAATTATATAAAAAGAAATAGTTTATAACTCTTAACCTTATAAAAGCTTATAAACTTATATAAATAAAAGAAAAAGATAAATAAAAGACAGTGTTTACTATAAGATATAGGTTATATAAATATATAGTTATGCTATAAAGACTTACTAATACACCTACATCCTTTTAGA